TTTTTTTTTTTTTTTTTTTTTTTTTTTATGAAAGCCAAAGAATTGGGCCACCTATGGTAGAAACCTGAGCTTTAGGATCCAAATTACTTGCTCAGCCACAAATGTTCACGGCAATGAAACTCATCTGATGAGTTTGTGTCACCTCTAAACAGTCTCCTTTGCTCCGTGTTGGTTTCACTGTTTTTGTGGTTCTGTTATTAGCACATTTGCAGTGCATTCTGATTCCTTTCATCGTGTGGGGTTGGTACACGTACATGACATATCAGAATTCCTTTTTTAAATCTTTTCCCACCCTCCAGCTCTTGGTGACCATTGGCCTTGAACTTGTGGTGATCCTCCTGTCTCAGCTTCACAACTGCTGTAATTACAAGCATGCACTCCCACGCCTGGCTGTTTTATTTTAAAACAACTGTTTGACCACATGCACATGTATAAAATAAGTATCTCTTTTAAGTGTCAGGACAGTTATTTTATTGAAAAAGTAGCATCATTAGTAAAATACTACCACTACTTTTTAATGGTAAAAATGGAGAATTTTTAAACTTCTACTATCTCTATTTCCACTTTTATGGTTAACTTTTTATTTCTTGCGAGTAAGAATTAATTGCATTCAGGCAAGACTGCTACACGCACAGAGAGGCACTGCTCCTTGTGAGGCAGAAGGCAATGTTTCTATGATGTGCAGCCGATCTGGCTCACTGGGGACCTGTTTGTAACAGTGTAGGTCTGGGGCCCAGGATGTAGCTCAGTGGTGCCGCCGCCTGCCTCAAAAGTATAAGGTCCCAAGTTCGATCCCCGGTACCAAAACAAAACAAAACAAAACAAAATCACACGTCCTCATGCACCTCAGTCACCAGATCAGCACTGTGTGACTGGCCCTTCCCCAAGGTCAGCATAAGCACAGAAGGAAAATACATTCAGTTGCTCACCCTCACAGGCGTGGACATCCCAAGAGCAGTCCGAACACGGAGTCACGTCCAATATACTCACTTCTACAAAATGTTCTAATTAAGGAAATATGTCTGAATGTTTCATTTGCATTCCCTAGCTGCTAAAAAACCTTGATAAACAGTGTCCAAGGAAATAAGCTCCTAAGAACACTGGCACGCTTCATACCGATGAAAGGAGTGACCGGTTCTCCCATCGGAGTGGGTCCAGAGTGGCTGGGAGGATGCTGAGAAATAAAAGGAGGAAAGAGACCCACCTACAGCCCAGGGCAGCTGGTATCACATCCCACAGAGGGGTCAGGACAGCGGGGCTAAAATAAGGAACCGGCCCCAGGCTCTGCCGCCAGCCGCACCACCGGTCACACACAGATGATTTCCAGGGTGCGCACATCAGGTCCAGTACCGCCTTGCCTGCGTGCTCAGGGCCCTGCCCTCTGGGTCAGCTATCATTGGAGATGCCTCCGGCAGGGGAATGTGTCCACTGCCTCATATTCCACGGGATCGCTGTCATTAGTCAGTGCTGACTGATGTCTGCATGCACAGGGGTCTGGATTACAGTGTACACAGTTCAGCTACACCCTCGGCTGACCCGAAAAGGACAGCTTCACCACACAGCTGCTCCTGAACCTGACACCCGGCTTAGCTGAGGGGCTCTCGCGGTCTCAGCCCGGCTCCATAGTGAGAGCTGAGATTTCGCAAACCCAGCGTCTCGCCTCTGCCAGTCGCGATGCCAGACGTGTAACACCAGGTCGGGACCCCGTGTGCCGAGCCCGCCCACATAGACCCGCGTCTTCAGAAAGCTCGAGGGTGATGAGACTGCGACACGATGGTGGGGCTTGGTTCCTTCAGCACATTTTTGGCTGGCAGGTAGCCACTTGCCCGTTCTGATCCGGAAGTATCCATTAAAAGCCAGGAGCTGAGCTGTCTGAGTTGGAGTGTGCTTCCAGTTTTTGGCTCTCCACCATGTGAGAGTCTGTGGAGCCCTGACTGCCACCGCGTGTGAACACCTATGACCAGGGACGGCGGCCGCGAGTCAGTGCTGGCCGACTGGGGGATCCCGTGCACAGAAGAGGAAAAGGGCATCCAGAGGCAGATGTTGGTGGCTGCAGAGTGGGGACACCCAGAGATCTCAGAGTGACAGCCACTGGGCAGTTACCAACCCCCCAAACCTACAGACACCCTTAGGATGGCGCCCAGGGCCTTTGCACAGAGCTACATCCTCCTCGGCCCTTTCTATGCTGAGGCAGTGTCTGTCCATCATGACGCTGCCCAGGTTTGGATCCTAGGCTCGGACTTGTCTTCCTCCCCCAAACTCCCAGAGAGCTGGACTTGCAAGTACCCACCATCACACCTGCTGCATGAAAGTCTTTAACTGTGGTGGAGGAAGGTGCTGGTGACCGAGGGCCTCGCCAAGCCCTGTGAAAGGTTTCGCCCTGTTCATCCACGACGCACCCTCCAGAGTGCTTGCAGCAGCCCCGCAGTCTCAGTGACCTTGTTTCCTCTGAGTGCTCAGCATGACTGCAGGGCACAAGGGCTGCACAAGGTGCCCCCGAGGGCACCAGCACAGGATGGGACCAGGGACAGAGAGCCGAGGCAGTGCTGGCTCAGTGGGGGAGGGGAGTACACCCAGGAAATGGCTTGAACCCAGACCAGAAGCTAAGGGGGAGCCGCAGGAGAGAGGGTGCTCCAGGGAGCCCGGTGGCACCCACTCTGATCTCCCCCAAGCTCGGGATGTGAGGACCCTGAGCAGCTGTACCTATCCCCGGCCCCTCCTCAGGGAAGCGAGCTGAGCCCTCTGGGGCTGCAGACCTTGCAGGCGCACATTCCCTTGCCCCACAGCAGGCTCATGGCCACCACCGGCCAACTCTGCAGCAAGGGCAGATTCTCATTTGCTGAGGTGCAACACAGAGCAGCTCGGCCACTCACGAGGTGTCCGGTGGATCCCTAGTGCTCACACAGTCCAGCGATTCTCAGTACTTACTCACAGGAGCGGAAAACTTGTGACCGTACAAAAGCCTGTACATAAATGTTCATAACAACTCTATTCTCAACTGGAAAAGCTAAAGAAGTGCATGTTGCCTTTCATTGGTGAATGGATAAACTGAGGGACATCCATAGGGTGAAATACTACTCAGCAATAACAAAGGAATGGGAACAAATCAAAGAGCTGTTGAGATACAGAGGAAATTGAGCGGGTGTTACTGAGAGAAGCCCTTCTGAAAAGACTGCAGCCTGTGTGATTCCAATAATGTGACTTTCCAGAAAAGGGAAAGAGTGAAAGATTAGTGGTTGCCAGGAGATGAGAGGGACATCTCCGGAGGGCATGCAGTGTGGACACATGTGGCTGCGAATCTGTCAAAATCCACAGAATGTAGAGCACAGAGGACCTCAGATGAGCACGGCCATGACCCATCCGTGAGGGCTCATCAGTTATGACAAGGAGCTGGACAAAGCCAAGATGTTAGCTGGGCCTCTGTGCTGGATGTGTCAGCTTCACTGGGCTCAGAATGCCAGGATGGCTGGTAAAACAGTTGCTGGAATGAGTGGATGAAAGACATTGTAACAATAGATAAAGAAGGTCGGTCCTCACCAACACAGGGCAAATCAGTCAGTCCTTCGAGTCCCACATAGAACACTATGGTGGAGAGGAAGAAACTTTGGCTCCGTCCTCCTGAGCTGGGACAGCACCTTCTGCTCCCCTTTGGCATCATAGCTCCGAGTCAGGGCCTTTGGTTCTGGGACTTCACCCGATGCCCTCCCTGCAGGGCCTGGTGAAGGAGTGCTGCTACATCACGGTGGCCAGGAAGTAGTGAGAGGGGAGGAGCCGGAGCAGAGACAGGAGGGTGACCCCCTCTTCTGCCAGCCTCCATACCCAACACCAAGCCAGCAACAGCATCCCAGTAATGCAGATGCCTTCCATAGCCGTGCCTCTGAGCTCATGAGGCTTCAGGGATACATCCAGACAGAGACCGTAGACTACATGCAGACAGCACGTACATTCTGGGGATACTGCGCACAGGGTCCATGTGGACTAGACATCCGCTGCACGGAGACCCTCCCGGGTACATGC